ATGAAGAATATTAAAAACATTATGAGTCAGCTGTCTTCGGCATTCCTTAAGGTACCAGCACAATAACACACTCAGCAAAATATCGTCTAATTATCATTATCGATAAAATCCCATAAAATATCGAGATATAATTTTTTGTCAATATCGCACACCCCTACTATTGTCATTATGCATTAATGACACACTATTTTCCTAATTAATGCTGTACAGTTGCTTTGACACAATCTGTATTGTTAAAAGCGCTATATAAATAAAGGTGACTTGACTTAACGAGCTGACATTAGGAGTAACTTCTTAAAGTGGCAGGACTAATCTGTGTTCCACGTGGGCAAATAACCAATCTGTGGGAGCCAGAATTCTTGCTGGTTGGTAGGGGATCAAATACTTATTTCACTCACTGAAATGCAAATCAATCTCTAATCTTTATATAATGTGTTTTTTTTTTCTGGATTTTTTGGTTGGTATTCTGTCTCTATCCGTTAAAATAACCCTACCATAAAAATTACAGACCCTTCATTTCTTTGTAAGTGGGCAAACCTACAAAATCAGCAGGGGATCAAATAAATATTTTACCCACTGTACGTTGTTTACATTCAGATCAAAGCGAACATACGCTGCATACGTTGTTTACATATGTGATACTCTCCAAAAGGGCGCTATAGGGTGACGCAAAGGAGACGAATTGTTGAATAAAGTCATTATTTTTGTTTTCTTTGCACACAAAAAGTATTCTCGTAGCTTTGTCAAATTACGGTTGAACCACTAATGTCACATGGATTATTTTAACAATGTCCTTGCTATATTTCTGAGCCTTGATCGTGTAAGGATCCTTTCTGTCTATGGGAGGTCAGAGAGCTCTCAGAATTCATCAAAAATATCTTAATTTGTGTTCCGAAGATGAACGAAGGTCTTACAGGTTTGGAACGACATGAGGGTGAGTAATTAATGACAGAATTTTCATTTTTGGGTGAACTAACCCTTTAAAGTAAATTTAACTGAGGCTCAGTAAGTAACAACCTTCATGTCCCTAAGAACCCTTTGCATTTCCTTCCTTTCAAGGAGGGGTAAATGTTTTCATGACATTTTCAATGAATGTAATATGTCAACATGGGATAAAATTAGCAACATCGAATCAGATCATGCTCAATGTGAATAAAAGTTATGTTTTAAAGAGAACAAGGAGCGATAAAAAGAACTATGAAATAGTTCAGCATCATTTTTATATAGAAAACAGAATAATAATAGAAATACACTTGTAGTCTCCTGACACTAGTGTGCAGCACACAAATGATTTCATTGTTTACATACACATGCCTTGAGTTTATGTAATACACACAAATTAGATGACCGCACTGCACATCGAGTTCAGGTGATAAAGACCATCTGAGGAAAGTGGTTTGAGTGAAGCTGGCAAAAGCTCACCACTAACATTCAAGTTTATTGACTGGGACTGACATTATGAAGATTACAGCACATTCCTTGTGAAGCCTCATTCAACTTCTGAATTTCCCATAAGATAAAACAGTGACCTCAATACGTCTCATTTTTATAATGCTGATCACGTTACCTGTGACACCTCCAATGACTAATTATGGCCAGCAGCGTGGCTCTATACATGCATAATGCAGCTTATGAATTAATATGCAATGTACAGCGTCTGCAAAATATTCACTGAAGGAAGATACTTTCTTAAAACTGTTCTCAGGGTTCACACAGTTGCTCAATGCAGTAAATACTGCAAATTACACCACTACACAAATATTATTATATAGTAAAAGGCCAATTAATCAGACGATATTTTAAAATTAATGTTATTAGCACTGGGCTATTAATAAGATCAGTTATTCTGCCTAATGTCAAAATTTACAGACATATGTATTTTCATATATTCTTTGGTGAAGTTTAAGCAAATAGGCTATTATTTGTGGTTGACATGACATGCCAAAAACAAGCATGGCAGCCAATATAATACTGATATATATGTGATATAGGTTAATATAGCTTATGGCATCAAAGTTGTATGCATATATATATTCTGTATATATACAAAAGTTTAGGGTTAGTAGGGTTTTTTTTGATAAGCAAGTTTTATTTTAGCAAGGAAACAACTTGATCAAGAGTGACAATAAAAACATTTATAATGTTACAAAACAATCTTTGTCCAAAATGTTCTGTTTTTCTGAACTTTCTATTAGAATCCTGCAAGCATGAGACTTCTTTCAAAAACAAAACAATCCTACTGACCCCAAACATTTTTACACAACATTCACTAAAAATACCAGAAAACAGAAATTGTGTATTAATTTTTAAGCTTGTTGGAATTGACACAAGGGATGCTCTATTAAAAGCAGTAAAATGGACATCTCAAAGCGGCCAAAATATTGGGATATTTATCACTAAATATCATGTAAAATGTGTGTTTCTTTAAATGTATCAATTTTATGTAATCTCATTTGCTATTATGTGTGCATTATATCGGCTATATCCAGCTCCAAATACAGGTATTGGCCATTTAAAAACACATATGAACTGAACACTTTTATAGACTGCTTACTATTTAAAATGATCAATTATGAACTGAACACTTTTATAGACTGCTTACTATTTAAAATGATCAATTATGAACTGAACACTTTTATAGACTGCTTACTATTTAAAATGATCAATTATGAACTGAACACTTTTATAGACTGCTTACTATTTAAAATGATCAATTATGCACTTCCCAGGACAAACGATATTAACATCAAGCACAGTTTAGGATGCTAACGTGTCAGGAACTGCATTTATCAGCTGCATCAATGATAAGAGATCAATATGACAGCATGTGATCATGCATCTGTCATGTATCAACAAGTCACCGAGTGCGAGACTCTTCTAGATGTGTGACACATAAGCTTCAATGGAGCCACACACAATTCCTGAATACACCAAACCAATGATCCTGTTACACTACAACCGTTCAGCGTTTGAGAACGTCCCAGCACGCGTTATCTGCACAAGTCTTACATAATAACGATCTGTTTATTGTATTAGCAGGGATGTGTTGGCATGCACGGCCACGAAAGCTTAAACAAGTCCACAGATCCCTAGGCTAACGTGTAAAAATAACGTAAAGCCAACAGTGCGCGGTGTCAATCTGACTGACAGCAGAGTAATGCTGATTTCTAGGCTAAAATTCAGGGATCTTATCTATTCACGAACAGCTTGTAACACTCCAAAGAGAAAGGAAAACTTGAAATTGCATCATTTGACCCCTTTAATATTGAAAGTAGAAAAATGAGAAAACGTCTCCTTTTTCGTTTTTTCGTTTTTCTCCAAAAAACGAGAAACGAGAATTCAGCTTAAATTTTCGTTTTTCGTTCATGGGTGGAAAAATGAATAAACAGCTTGAATATTTGATTTCTACACGTGGGCGGGAATTAAACGCCCCTTTCTGCTGATTGGTCAGCCGAAGATCAAACCGTGCCGACATCAGTTCTTCCGCAGTATCACGCAGCAGAATAATAGTCCTCCACTGCTGCAGTTGTATGGATTCTTAACGCATTTAT